TTTTTTTTTTTTTTTTTTTGCATTGGATAGATTTTGGATTTTTTAGCTTGAGTTTGTCCATATCATTATAGACTTAAGTCTATTTATTTGCCACATATACAAAAATTGACCCAAAACATTGTGGATGCTCTAAGCAACTCAGTTACAACTTTAACCGATGTAGGACAAAGCAAGTTTATAGTCTACTTTACTGTCCTTAGCAGAGGTGGACAAATCAATTATAAATGAATTAGGTAACTAATGGAATGCATGGTATTTCTGCTGCGTGTGTTGATATAAGTGATGCTTCACTCATGGATGTAATAAATACATGTAAGTGTATCTATATTTTTATTTATATATAAATAAAAATATTATATACATTAAAAACACTATATTTCTAATATAAATAAAAAATTACATATTTAAATTTTATGGATATATACAAGTTAGTTTAAGTATTTGAAAGTTCTAAAGTGTCTAAATATTTAATTAACGAAGTTTTTGTATATAATTTTTATTATATAAGATATTGTATATTTAAAAATGATACTCCCTCCTTTTTATTATAAAAGTCGTTTTGTATTTGTGCACATGGATTAAGATTTTTTTCTTTTGCCAAGATTACCCCTAATTAATGAAAATTAACATTAATTAATTATTTAATTTTAGTTTTGTTACGTTCTTTAAGGAAGAAAAACTCTTCATCTTCCTCATTGTTCCTTCACAAAATACACAGCTTCACAAAGGAATGTATAACTATGTGCACATCGACGAGAAATGGTTTTACATGACAAAGAAGGAGCAAACGTATGACATGCTCGACAATGAAGAAGATCCTCACCGTTTATGCCAAAGTAAAAATAACATTGCAAAAGTCATGTTTCTAGCAGCAACGGCTCGTCCGAGATTTAATGGTGAAGGAAGGGTGTTATTTTCGGGCAAAGTTGGATGTTCGGCGTTTGTGACAGAGCAACCAGCCCAAAGAAATAGCAGGAACAGGCAAGCTGGCATGATGGAGATGAAGGCGATCACATCTGTTAAAAGAGAGAATGTGAAAGCGTTTTTGATTGAAAAGGTTATCCCCAACTATTATTGAGAAATGGCCTAGCTCCGAAGAAACTATTTATATCCAACAAGACAATGCTAGGACACACGTCCCTCCTAATGACCCTGATTTTGTTGCAGCCGCTTCACAAAATGGCTTTGGCATTCGATTAATTTCCCAACCTCCTAATTCTCCATATTTGAATATACTCGACCTTGGGTATTTTAGGGCTATACAGTCGCTACAACAAAAAATGTGCACAAGGAATATCCATGAGCTTGTAAGCGCGGTAGATAATGCATTCTCTGACTATTCACCCATTAAGCTCAATTGTGTGTGTGGCTGACTTTGCAATTATGTATGAAAGAGATCATGAAACTAGGAGGAGGAAATCGATATAAAATCCCTCACATAAACAAAAACGGCTTCAAAGACTAGGTGAACTTCCTACACAAATTTCATGTGAGTCTACCTTAGTGCAAGCGACTAGAGAATTGTTGGCAGCACAACAAGGTAAATCAATGTTAACATTTTCTTCTCGTCTTCATATATTCACTATTATTGATAATATTTTAATTTTCTTGTAGGGAACGGGTCAATTGGAGGTGGATTGGAAGAGCTTTAGTTGAAATTGGTGATGCTTGTTGTTATTGGCAGTAGTTGTTTTTGTAGACTGTTCTGTTTTGTGAAATCTGCTTCAAAGACTCTTCTTGTCTTGCTTTTGTTTATGTCAAAATATACGTTTTCGGTAGACTGTTCTGTTTTAATTTGCTTGTCTTTGGTCTATTTTTTTTTACACACAAATACCTGTTCATTAAAGATTTTTGGGACAATAAATAATTTGGTAAAGAGGATCAACATAACATAATTATACTTCACTTAATAAAAGTGGATAATGGTACAAAAACTCCAAATAGCAACCTTTCACAATTAACCTTTCTACCAAGCATAAAATCTTTTCAACCACATAGATGGCTTTATTCAGTCAACAAGATGCATGAAATAGAGAAAATGAGCAGCAGTCATCATCCAAGCAGTTCACAAATTTATTAACAGAAAGATGGTCGTGTTTTACGTGTCATCTTGAACAAAACTTGATGCATCTCGTCTTCCAGAAAGCCTCCCCAAACACCCTTGGCCTCGGTGGATAGAAGCTGCGGTGAAACTCTACACTAACGCACAGCTCTCGGCTTCTCGGATGTTGGCAGATCGAACTTCTCGATTGATGGCGTGACGCTGCTGCTTGCTGTTGGGGTCGATGCTCGCAGATGGCACGTGGGCTGTTCGGCGACGGCGAAGCATTGCAGGCAGTGTGGTTCACGGCGGCTCTCGGCGTGCAACTCATCTGACGCAAGGCGAACAGTGGTCGAGGTGTCAGGGAGATCTGCCAGTGGAGCGGGTCAACGGGGACGGCGATGTTCATGTGGCGAAAGAAGAGGCCGAGGATAGTGAGCGAGCATAAGAGCACGATAAAGACGTCGGCCAGGAGAGAGACGATGCTCGAGTGGCGGTAGGCACAATGGTAGTACGTGGTTAGAAATGGAGTCAACTTTGAGCTCCTAACACTCGAGCTCAGGCTCGAGCCCTTATCGAATCAAGCTGAGCTCGACCCGTTACCACTCATTAATAAGAAGAACACGAATCTTAACGAAGCTAATTATGTTCAAATTTCACAAAAACACATAAAACCCCTCTTTATCAAGTTGGCTCGGACCGCTTAGTTAACGAGCCATAATCGAGCTCACGCTCGGTTTGCTTATCAAACAATCTGAACTGAGCAGAGCACACGAGCAACTCCTTTTGTCAAGAGCTCTAGATATGGTTATGAAAATCCCATCATTCATTTTTCGATTGAAGTTGACTTTTTTCTAATAGAGGACTTTTATCCCTTTCTTGCAAGTTTAATCTTTTCTAAAAGAAAAAACAAAATGAGCTTGCACCTAAACAATAAAAAGCATATACATTGATATATAAAAATAAGATCTAACATAACTTCTGCAAGTAGAATCTCTAAGGTTGATAAAAAGTTCACTAGCAAATCTTTTGACAAAGCTTTCAGAGATAAATACTTCAGCAAAGCATATATGTCAAATGTAACATAAATACCCCAGATGAGAAACAACAGTACAAGGAAAAAATCGGAGAATATGTCAAATGTCGCCCGATTAAGCTCACCGTTGAAGATTCTGAGTGTCGAGCTTACATACGGAAAACAACTAAAGGCACAAACAGCTCGGCCCATCTGTTTAACGATTCATACATACAGTTAAGTAGAACCGGAAGTCACCGCATACTTGCCAACTTTTTATTTGTCCGAGCTGACAATGACATCATCCCCACAACTGAATAAACTCACAATTTACATCAAAATAACTACAACATCGAACCTAACAATTCACATCCGAAATTCAAACAAAGGACATCCAATCAAAATCGAACGTGTACAGTTTTTTCGAAGAACAATAAAAATACGAAACTTTAACAGCAGCCCAAGCAGTCATTTTTCATGCTATACTCTGAAAAATTCTCTATTCCATCATATCTACAAAACAAAAGAAAGCCACATTACCCTTTTGTTTTTTTTTTCGGTCGATAAATGGAACTCATGAAGAAGTCCCATCCTAATCAACAAGCCTTCATTGTTATAACAATGAATGCTTTGTCACATTGAACATATATGATGTCCAAGAGCAATACAGTACCAATAAACGTGAATCTACAGCAAAGTAATACAAACTTCATTTTTGTCGATAAACTCCGGGAAAAAAAAATCATCTCCAATCACCGATAACTCTAACTTGCAATATATGACATTGAAAAATCATTTTTCCAATATATAACATTAAAAAATCTCAACATAAGGACTCCCCAAAACACATCATCAACTTAATTGCAATTACGAGACACCAACAAAATCTCAAATAACCTCTACAGTAGGTCTCATAACAGAACTCACTCCCTCCCAATGTAAAAAAAAAGGTGTTGTCACAATAACAATAACAATAAATTACTCGAGCAAAATAACATAGACATACAAGACCTCCGCTCAAAGCAAATCTGCCACGTTAGCCGGGAGCTTTTCGGTAAACAGACTTGGCACAAAAATCTTCAACATCTCGTTCACAACTTCATCATTGGGCTGAGAAATTGCTTCACCAACAACAATCTTCTCCTCAACCATTGTGGCGCTTTTACCTTTTGAAAAACTAGTTCCAGCTGCAAAGCGATTGGGGCGAGAACCTTGATGAACATCATCTTCAACATCTGAATCAGACACATATACCTTAAATGACTCTGCTAAATCACTAATTTGCAACTCAATTGAATGGGCATCACCTAAACTTGCTTTTGTCTTCTTTAATAGTTGAAGGAATTCATCCACAGTAAGTTTGTGAGATTGAACAAATTTATCAAAATCAATTTCTGGATTCGATTTTGAAGAATCATAACGTTTTGAATCCATAAATCGTAAGAGAAAAAATAAAGAGGAGAATAACTGAACTAGAATCAAAGGATTAGAAAAAGTTTGGATTAAAAAGATGGATTGGAAAAGAATACTCCATGGGAACAGAGATGATGTCCTTGGAAAAATTGAAATGAGATATGGAGAGACATACGGGATATGGAAAGGCATTTTTAATGTGGAGAGATGGATAGGGATAAAAATGGAAATATGTGAATAAAAAGCCTAGAACGTCTTTTATTTAACTAATCCTCACAAAAGCCAGAACGACTTTTATAATAAAAAGGAGGGAGTAATAAATTAAATAATGGTCCAATCAGTTCAACCATTTGTTTGACCGGTGCGAATTTCATAACCTTGGAAAAAGCTTAAAAATATTTATAGAAAAAACAATGAAAGAAAGGTAAATTATAAGACTTAGAAAATTTCTATCCATTGGATATCTAATTAGTAATCCAACGGCTTGTTAAATACAGCAGATATTGCAGTGTAAGTTGTCACTGCAGACGCCGAGGCCCCGATCCTTTTTCAAATGGGGTTTGAAGATTTCAATTCTATTTATACCTTCCAAATCCAAAATCCATTGCGTTTAGGAGAAAATGACGGCCGGCAGCCGAAGCCTGAAATCAAACTGCTGGGAGACGACTCAACTGCGACCAAAGACGGGGAATTGGGCGAAAGTGTTGGAGGAAATCGTGAGGATAGAGAAAAGGGCGTTTCCCAAGCACGAGTCGCTCGCTAATTCGTTCCAAGAAGAAGTTAAGAAGAGTAACAGCGGCTTGATTTACTCACAGATCGGGGACGAAATTGCCGGTTACGTCATGTATTCTTGGCCCTCATCACTCTCGGCTTCTATCACAAAGCTCGCAGGTAGGTTACAAACCCTTTCACTTTATTTCAACTGCAAGAGCTTCATTTCACACCATGTGTAGAAATAAGCACAGTTATATTTCAACGGTGCTAATTATCAGAATTGTTGTCTATAGGAACTGGGAATTATATGTTGAGATTCAACTCTACAAGGTTGCTCGAA